TCTTGGGCCACCAAACGCTTAAAGTGGACAATACCGTAATCAACGGAGCGCTTCGTGGAATCAAACGATTTGCCTTACATTTAGCTGAAAAGCTTCGTATACATAGGGCGCCCATAATTGACCGACGTGTGACTTTCGAGTCCCTTTTGAACCCTTCCAAAGAAATAAATTTTTCAAATACCGTCTTCTTTTCTCAACATCAATCACATCGATGTAAAAATAGCATATTTTGAAAATGTCACCTAATGAGTTTAGGGGAAAGCAATTTTTTCCCCCAACCCTCATGCTTTTGAATAGGTGCTTATTATATGTAAAGTTGTCTCGTATACTCAACAAATTGCTCATTCTTAAAAGTACTTTTGACTACATTTGTGCTTATTTTCAAATACTGTAAGGCGTCTTCCGACGAGCATCACCTCATGAGCAGTTCCTTTGCTTCATATAAGCCGAGCGATTGCAATGAGTGGAAATGTCGAGAAAAAAGTAAAGTGGGGAAACGGTGATTTATTCTAACCAGCATTGCCTACTGAAGTTGAAATAGACTGATTCCAATGCTCATTCAGATTTTTTTGCTCAAGATTTTGAGAGGTTCAATTAAGCAACCATGGGTGCATAGCCCTTTTTGTAAGGATCAGTTTGTAAAGACAATGCACCCGAATAATGGATTGGCTGGGCTCTCACTTCTTTCTATTAAATTTGTGCGCTTCCTTCATACCAATTTCGTTGTTAATCTTCCGAAACCCTTTTTTCTTCTAACGAGCTTCATGAGTGACTTGTCATAGCGGAAAGTTTGACTTCCATCAAGACTCAGAACTCCCCCACCCCCTCCTCATAATACTTGGCATCATTATAAACCAACAGGGGCGATATTTTTCTTTCAGCCATTTCAGATATAGCAGCCAATATAAAAAATAAATTGGAAACGAGTGGTGTTTGCCATGGAGAGCTTCTGCTTCACACTAATTGCAGAATTTGAGTAATCGACCTATTAATTATGCATGTTAGTGCTGATAGACTATCCTTCTCCTATCTGAATCCTTAATACGGTCTATCGATTCCGAGCTTTGTCGGCCTTTCTCTATGCCTACTTGACTTGATGCTAGTAGTAGGTGGTAATGATAAGAGGGTTGCCATGACAAACTGATTATTAAGAGAAATTGGGGCATTAATCAGGGCTACTGTATCATTCTTGTGTGCTGTTAACGTCGTGTTTACACCACGGCATTACCTCTGGGAATGTCAGTAGTAAGGCAGAAAAGTTTATCACATAACGGTGTGTCACGGAAAGCGCTTCTAAGTTTATACAGTACAGTACGGTACACTAGGTTTGATCATGCCGTTTTGTACTTCCTAAATGAGTCATGGGAACTGCTGCTGGGCAAAATTCTCACTAGCTCATAATATGATTTATTTCTTCTAACTACTTTTGACTTTTTATCTCTACAAGTACCTCCTTTCCCACCAAGTGCAGATGTTGCCCGTTTCCCTTCGTAGCCTCCCTGATCGTCAGTATCTGTTCTTACTAGATTTTCATATGACTACTCCGTTCGTTAGACACATTGTTCACTAGGGCACTCGTCGACCATGAATTTTTCTTGCCTGAGGAAAGAAATTGACAGCCGAGAGAGAGAGTCTTGCTGCTGTTTCTTTGGAATCGTGAGATTCTCAGAAGTTTCTTCTCCAAGAGTAACCAAATTTCGAAAACACTCACCCAGTCCGTGGGATAACTCTCGGGTTTTGTTTTCGGGAGAAGTTTGCATGCGGAAACTGTACTGAAGAATTCGTGGCAAAGGGATGGAACAGTTTGGATCGTTTTCAAGGGAATTTTATTCAGGTACGATACAATGAGGTCGTATTGGATATGAACAATATGTGATAATTTCTATGGAACTCCCATATATGAGCTGTCACATAAGCTGTGCAACTCGACTGAATGACTCTGACGAATGCCACATTTTATGATGGATGGGAAGGGAGTATGGTCATATACTGAGGGTCGAAGAGGCGGAAATTCCAGTAAGAAGGTTGACTGACCATTCCCCGTGCCCTACTCTGGACTCTCCAAATTTTCCGCCCAAAAACACAAAACACAAGTCTCACGTTGTCTAAAGAAGAAAAGGAAGCTGTTGTGCTCTTCATTACCTTCTCCTTTGACTTTGACTTTTCTGTAGCTAGTGATGATGTTCCACAGGTGCGTGTTGTTCCTCGCTTATCCCTGGATGAGTCGATATGAAGAAAAGTGAACTCACACTTTTTCATATCGACTTAAATGATTGAAAACAACTAATTTTTTTGAGTTCCTATGTTTTGCCACGAGGGAATTCAACAATCCTCATGGGTATCACCTGCCGACCGAAAGTGATGCCCATGAGAAACGGATTATTTACTTATCCCATGGTATCGGTGAGAATGCGGACCTGCTGCAGGGTTCTGACTTACTGGCTTATTTGTCAATCCAACCAATGACCATAACAATCATTCGAACTCATGTTGAACTCACTGCTTTATTAATACCTACCCCAGGAAGCTAAATTACCCAATTGTATGGATACCTGAATATTTTTCAGTTGACATGACTGCTTGACAGAATTAAATGAATACTGTAATCGTTTGAATGATTAAGCGAGTATTTAAAAGATTAGTGCTGTGTGCATAGCTAGCTCGTGTAATGAGTGTGGCTCGACTCTTTCCATTCACCTGGCAGTATGTTTTTTTTCTTGAAGGTTCAAAAAACCCGCAAGGAAGGCGTGCCAGGCCTCAACTTCATCTCAGCCGTATTCACCCTTTTGAAGAGATTTTGTAGTTTTGCAGAGTTGTTCTGGTTCGTGTGGCTGAGATTTGTATCGAAATATAGCAAGTTGAGGGGGGGAGGGGGAAGTTGCACGACTTTGTATTCCGCTCGGAACTTGATATGATCTCGTTTGGGGGTGGTACGAGATCTAAGATTACTGCGTTATTAACGGCAGGGCAGCAAGCGCCCAAACAGCGAGCTACAAATCTGCAAATCTACTCATGGAAGAATTCATTCGCTCAAAGATCAGCTACGAATCTGTCAATCCACTTAAGAAAGAATCTATTTGTTTGGCATCATAATAACAACTTCATCAGAACTCTATGTCGTTTGCTGAGGTAGACCATAACAAGTAGTTCTATTTCTCTTGCGTACTTTATTTTATAATATTTATAAAACTGAGGAGGCTCCACTGAATGGTCCGCAACGAGAAGGAATAGGCACTTTGCCAAGTTTCTTGAGAGTTAGACGGATTGTGACTCTGTTAACTGCGAATGCAACATTTTTCGGTTTTTGAGGATGACCATTTGGTTTACTTCCATTTCTCTATATTTTTTGGCATTAAATTTACCTTGAGCTAAATTTATTGTTAGAGCAGTCCATGGTTGGCCGTCACGTATTCTTGGGCGTACATTCCGGTCTCTCTGGTGGAAGAAAGAAGTATTACTTTGAAAGCCCATAAGTCATTCACCCATGACATATCCGGCTACTTCTCAATAGGTAGGAGCTACATCTTCTTCCCAATTTCACATATGACAACTGAATGAATGTACTCAACGTCTAATTTTTTACGAGTTTGACTCTGGCACTGCACTTTAAACATGTTCAAACATCGGCCCTGATGCCCCTTTCAGGAGATTCTGTGCGCATCCCTTTTCAATGCTTCACAGCCGGAAACAAAAGGTCGACGGCCTTGATCTGGTCAGCCAATTTCGAAATCATGAACTCTCCTTAATACGATGTGCTATGCGCATACGAGCGTAGTGTCATCCTATGGTATTTCTAAGGAAGCTTCCAGGAAGACATGACAGAAATGGACGGTTATGGAATATTCAGGCAGATACAGTGGCGCTCTAAAGTATTCGGCCAAATGCTTCCTCACTCGTACTTTTCAGTCATAACTCCTTTCCTACTAGATCTAAACAAGCGGAATTTCAATATGTTTAGCATTGGTGTAGTGTGCATATTTACTTCTATTAACCTGCAATCTGATCATGTTCCAGATATCCCAAGAGCTTGAGATCAAAACCAACTGGAAATACGAATGGTGGTCCTCCTGGGAGTCCTTTCCTTTTTGCCGTGTCTTAAGTGTACGAGCACTAATGCCGAACTTAGTAGAGGGAAAAAAACGTACATAAGGTCAGAATAACTGCAGAAGTCACAAACTTGCTTTCAGCACAGTCTACAAACGCGTCCCCATTAGTATGTGGATATGGCTGTTTTGCAGTCAAATAGTGTCGGATAGTGTGAAGTATGCTTCAGCTAAACATATCAAAATTTCATGTGATTTGCTCCACTGAGAAAAACGTTACGGCAAGTTAAAGTTGGCCGAATACTTTTGAGCGCTACTGTATTTCCACAAGCCTGAAAAATAAGAGATGATTATAATGATTGGAAAATCGTGGTGGATTGCCTATTTATAATAGTAGCTACGATCGGACTCCGAAAAGTTGTTTCTCCCCTTCTGAACCTCGCTGTTGCTCAATAAGATAATTCATCCATGAACTATGCCATTTTTCGTTATCTTAGCTTTTTGGGACCATTAACTTCAGTACAATATTTTTTGAGTACTATATAGAAGAATTACGTCTAAAACATCATCTAATTTATGGCATAATTCCTCGTATTGTCATTTCATATATTTCTCATTGAGGCGTTGTAAGCGGATCCCTGCTGCATAAGCAAGGCCGAGTCGTGGGGTGGGCGAACCCATCTCTTAACACTCTTACTTCCATAAATAGAGATATGTATGGTTTACCTTCCATCTCTTTTTGTTCATCATCTGTCTATGCCTTTCGAGGAACAATTGAAAATCTTTCGATTTCCTTACCTTCTTTCTTATTGGCTGCATTTCTCTCTGACAAATTTTTGCCGATCACCGAATGCTTTATACTTTCCATCATCATTCAGCTTTCTATTTTTTGCTTATTTCCTACGCACGAATCCGAAAAATGCGGTTTTTGATCTTCAAAGATTTTCTTTTTTTGGAATGAATCGTCGAAAAACCGAACCGAAACGAAAGAGCTATAAGTATGAAGGACGAGAACGAGCTTCGTCGATGTTCACGGTAAGTTGTTCAGTTGAAGGACAAGTGCTCAATTGAGTTCGCTTGTTGTCGTTGATGGGGTCCATATTTTTCATAGCCCAAAGTTCCCTCAAGAACCGCATGCATCTTTGCGAAACTTTCACTCAAGGATGAGGGTGTGTTGCGGTAGAGCTGGAAAGGGGTATAGAGTTTGCAGAGGAAACCGCCGTGGGCGTTTTTATCGTAATCTTAACAGGGTCCTTCCCAAAATAGCATGCACGCTCAATACTACACAAACGAGCACAACCTTGCAGCTTGGATTGCGGAATCTGTGAATATGGGAAACAGCAAAGCAAATTTTTATTTCCTTGATATGAACGTGCTCAGCTCGCACCTATCAGAAAGCAAGCGATGCGAGTTCTTCCATGGCCCAGAAACTGCTGCCTCAACACCCTCGATTACCTTTTTTCTGAAGACTTATTAGTAAGAACAATCGAGAATACTGACTTGACCCTCAATTCTGGGCGGAAATCTGATTCTTTGAATATTTCACAACAGTGTGAACTCGAAAGATAAAAGTTAGGTCTCCGTTTTTTGAATCCCAAGGTTTTTAAAATTGTCTTGTTTTTTTTCAAGTCCCTATCTACTTTCCTGCACCAATGTTTTAACTATCTGTAATAGTATTGATCAAGATTTCTCGCCGTTTACAAAGCTGCAAGGAAGTGGATTAAGAATCAAAAACTGCTAGAGATTTGATTTATAGACTAAATTCTGTACCATACATTCTGACTGGAGCAACTCAGTAAGGAACAACATGTGCATCGAATTAGTAGCCATCCAAGCTCCTCTTCAGCCCAATTTTTCTAAAGCATTTCAGTAAGCCTAATCTCTACACTATGAACTTTCGTGATTCTGAAATATCAGTTAAGGAGTTTTAATCAAACGACTAACGACCACTGCAGAGAAAGCTCGCCTCGCTGAGGTGATTAAACCTACAGCAAGTAGCTCATTTCACGGCATCAATTGCCATATAAGGAGAATTTGCTGTAATGTAATTCAAGGCGAGAATATCAGCTCATTGCATTCTCGCTTTCCTACCAAACTCTTGAGATACTGGGAATGCTGACTGATTATCGTAACCGTGTTTCAGAGGTGAGTGTTAGCCCTTTTTGTGAACTATCAAAGCTAACATCATTTTGACGCAATTTCATTTTTTCTCCTTCTTTTGATTACATTCAACATGTGAAAAGGAAACCTTGATGAATTGACATAAACAAAGTGGTTAGAAATAGAAAACTAGCAGATGTTATATCAGCAGTCAACAATCTCTAATAATCAGAGTATCTGTGCATGTGCAGAGGAACTAAAGTGCCCAGTAGATACTCGTACCCACAAATCATTCGCGCACCCTTGGGCTCAATTTGCATTCACCCATACAAACCACCCACTCTACTTTTGCAGCTGAAAATCTAAAAACTTGTATGTCATACATTGGGAAAAATGTTTTCGAGAATCTAAGCTGCATACTGTCTGGTCTCGTGACTGTGGCTTCAACGGTTCATCCGCTATTGCAATTTGAGACACAGTGATCAAATCACCGAACCTTCACTTACGATTGGAGGCTCTTGCTCGGGTTTGTGTGGCAGACAGGGCAGACTGACAGACAACTTGGTCTGCTCGCAATCATTACTTAGTTACTTTTCACTTTTTTTTTTACTTTTGCTTCTCATTACTTTTGTTACTTATCTCGAAGCAACTGCTCACGTCTAACCGTGGTCCTATTGATGGGAAACTCAGAAAAAAAGATTTTTAATTACCCTAAAATTCCATATATAAGAGCGGTTGAAACTACCGGTGAAAAATGAATTGGAATGAAATTGAAATTGAATGCAGTCACCCTCTAACTTGATGGATGGATAAATTAAACTTTGGAGAAGAAGTTAAAAAGAAGCTCCGCCCCTTAACTCTAAACCCCGCCCACTTAATGAACAATTCATATAGAAAAATAGCGATCCGTTAAAATTGCTAAAAAAATCCGTTAAAATTGCTAAAAAAATCCGTTAAAATCGCTATTTTTTCATATGAACAGTTCATTAAGTGGGCGGGGTTTAGAGTTGAGGGGCGGAGCTTCTTTTTAACTTCTTCTTCAAAGTTTAATTCATCCATCCATCAAGTTAGAGGGTGACTGCATTCAATTTCAATTTCATTCC